TTTAATAGAGACAGGGTTTCATCATGTTGGCCAGGCTGATCTCAAACTCCTGACCTCAAATGATCTGCCTGCCTTGGCCTCCCAAAGTGCTGCGATTACAGGCATTAGCCACTGCGCCCGGCCAACAATTCTTGAATAATTAACATAGACTCGTAGATATAAGGGAATTAGGGATAAAAGGTCAGTAAGAGGTCATCTCTCTCTCTTTTTTTTTTTGTTTTTTAGATGGGGTCCTGCTTTATTATTACCCAGGCTGGAGTGCAGTAATGCCATCTGGCTCACTGCAGCCTCCACCTCCTGGGCTCAAGGGATCCTCCCACCTTGACCTCCCAGGTAGCTGGGGCTACAGGCACACGCCACCACACCCAGCTCATTTTTGTATTTTTTGTAAGATAGGGTTTTGCCAAGTTGCCCTGGCTGGTCTCAAACTCCTGGGTTCAGGGGATCCACCTGCCTTGGCCTCCCAAAGTGCTGGGATTATAGGCGTGCACCACCATGCCCAGCCCTATTCAACTCTTTGTATTTAGGTATAATCACACCCAAACTGATAAAATTGTGTGATATTATCATGGGGGGTTATTTATTTATTTAAGGCACGGGTCTTTACTTCTCCTTGCTCTAAACTGAAAATCTTTCTGCTAAAATGAAATAGACTTTTCTCCTACGATTTTGAGTTCAAATCAGGAAATGCCAAAAATTCTGATAATCCCTGTTTTCCAGATTGGCCCGTTTCTAAGAAAGAGGAAGTGGCTCCTGGCATGTCAGACAAGGTCTGGCTAATCAGCCAAAGTATTGGAGCAGCTGAGGGGAGGCAGGCCCTGGGCTCCCACGTGCTCCCACCTGCACTTGTCTGCCATTCAAACCAAGGGTGGGCCTATTGGGTCCCAGGCAGCTTTTCCCTTTACAGAGTGGAAATCATACTTCAGTGAGCATCAGAAGCACCTGGGAGCTTGCTTAAAATGTTGATTCCAGGGTGCCATCCTCAGAGAGTCTGAATCAGTAGACCTAGGGTGTGGTCTGCTGCGGGAAGTCAGGGACCCTGAACGGAGGGACCAGCTGGAGCCATGGCAAAGGAACATAAATTGTGAAGATTTCATCTTCATATGGACATTTATCCATTCCCAAATAATACTTTTATAATTTCTTATGCCTGTCTTTAATCTCTTAATCCTGTTATCTTCGTAAGCTGAGGATGTACATCACCTCAGGACCACTATGATAATTGTGTTAACTGTATGAATTGATTGTAATTCAATCTATGTTGAAATATTGGGGGTGGGTTCTCCCAGTAGTGGTCTCAGGAATCTGTTTTTTGAGAACCTGTCTTAAACCCAGGAATCTATTTTTAGCAGACTCAGGAGGGGATTCCAGGGCAGGTACTCCATGGCTTCCACTTAGGAACCTCAGCTCTATTGGGAACCATTTCAATGACCATGAATATTAGTTTCTCTGTGAGGCAGCAGATGGTGCCTTCTCACCTCTGTCTGCTCTCCAGCAACCTGCTTCTTGGTCTTAAACCCTACATTTGACAACAGCAGAGTACGAGCTCTCACCTCCTGGATGTCTGTTCTCACACAGACAGAGGGGGAGACTTAGGGGCCCGAGGCCCTCTCCACAGATGACTTCCTCGTCTCTTTAAACAAAGTCATACAATGGCTGGCAAAGATCAGGACCTGATATGGAAACAGGGCAAGTTGTGCTGGTAAACTGTTCGTTTGTGAGCCCCTGTTTGTCAGATGAGGCCTTTGCTATTTTTTTCAACTGCTCTATACAGGAAAGTCTAATGATTTATAAATCAAAATGTTTAAATATTGTCCAAAAGCCTGTGATAATGACCAATGTACAAATTACCAAAGTTTAAACAAGTAAATTTTCTGAAGTAAAAAAGGTTTGACTAAAGCTTTAAAAATAAGCAACCTAGTATAATATATTTGGAGATGTAAACTAAAAATAAAGTTCTAAGCCCCCAGACTGACTGAACTGACCCCCCTCTTGGTCAAGGGGACCCCAGAGAAACCTTAAAAACTGAGTTCCCAGTCATGATGGGACAAGAGGCCAGACACACCTTGTTATTCCTCCTCCTTTTGGGGTTTAGACACAACTGACCAGCGTTAATGCTGAAATAGAGATCGTAAGACAGAACAGATTCTTTATGGCCCTAAGAGACCAAATTACAAACAGTACCTAAGGCCATTCTAGGACCACAGTGAAGTCACACACCCCTGCGCTTAGAGAATATACTGTGTGCTGCCACAAGGTTTTTCTTTTTCTCTTTCAACTAAACAAGCACTGGTCTCGAGATAAATGATGTTAAAACAATTTGAGGCTGGCGCGGTGGTTCACGCCTGTAATCCCAGCACTCTGGGAGGTCAAGGGGGTAGATGGCTTTGACTCCAGAAGTTTGAAACCAGTCTCAGCAACATGGCAAAATCCCATCTCTTTTAAAAATATAAAAACTAGCTGGACGTAGTGGTGCATGCCTATGGTCCCAGTTACTTGGGAGGCTGAGGTGGGAGGACAGCATGAGCCCGGGAGATGGAGGGCAGTTAGCAACCACTGCATTCCAGCCTGGGTGACACAGCCAGACCCTGTCTTAAAAAAAAAAAAAAAATTGCAGCTCACCGACCATCAGACACTGAGTAACCAACCCCTGGCCCCTATTCCACCAGCCATAACTATAGCTTTGACTGGACAAGAGAGTGATTTTAGTAACCTTCTCTTGATAAGACCATCAATTCTGGACCAGTCCTGGTCAGTTTACAGAGGCTCTTCACTTGAGTGCCTTTGTGTCCCTTTTGCATATAGGGTCTAACTGTAATACATTGAACTGTTAAGTCTCCACCCCAGGGTGAACATGGGTTGTATGTTACATGCACATTTGTTCAATAGGTATGTGTCAGGACTACCTTCAAAAATATTCATAAATCTTCCTATAGCCTATTGAATGTGTATATTTAGCCATATTCAGCATAAAGCTCCTACTCTAACACCTCCTCCTTCAAAGTGCCTGTGTCCAGGTCTTTACAGGAAGCTGCACTCCCCAGCCTGCAGGATGGCCACCTTGCAGACTGGAATCCTTTGTAAGAAATAAAGTCTCCTTTTTCAAATTTATAAATTTTTGATTTTTTTAAGTGAACAGAAACAAAGTGGAAATACTTGACAGGTATAATGCAGGTGTTGAAAGACAATTTTTGAAAAGGCAACATATTCTCTTTTCCTAAAATGTAAAGGTCCCATTGACCAAAATGTCATTACATGACAAAAATAAATTATTTTAATTCTAAAAGCTCCCTTATGCTAAAAGGCTAATGGCCACTCAGTTGTGCATAAATGTGAGATTTTCATGTCCCTTTATCTCCACAGCTTTTAGATGAACACCCATTTTGATTAGTGCAATGATTGACCATGATCAGGGAGCAAGTCAGCATTATTATTATTTACGATTAGGTTGGTGCAAAAGTCATTGCAGTTTATGTCATTCCTTTTGCACAGACCTAACACTAAAATGAACAGGAGTCTGACTATGAACGAAAGACTGCCTCCCTGTGCCAAAGGCTCATGAGCATGGCTTTGTGAAATCTCCCAGTGGTATTCTATCTCATAGTTTGCAGTTGACCCTTGAACAACATAGGTTTGAACTGTGGAGATTCACTTAGATTTTCTTCCACCTCTGCCACCCCAGACACAGTAAGACCAATCCCTCTCTTTCGTCCTCCTCCTCAGCCTACTCAGAGTGAAGATGACCAGGATGAAGCCCCTATGACCATCCACTTCCACTTCATGAATTATAAAAACATTTTCTCTTCCTTATGATTTTGATAACATTTTCTCTCTAGCTTACTTTATTGTAAGAATATAGTTTATAATACATATAACATACAAAATAGGTGTTAATCGACTATTTATCTTATCAGTAAGGCTTCCAGTCAACATGAGGCCATTAGTAGTTAAGTTTTGGAGGAACCAAAAGTTATACTTGGATTTTCTACTCCACAAGGGGTCAGCCCCCCAACCCTGCCTTGTTCAAGGATCAACTGTAGTATAATATAGTACAGTACAGTATAAATAGTATAGTATTTATTTTTTTATTTTGTTTTTTTTGAGATGGAGTCTTGCTCTGTCACCCAGGCTGGACTGCAGTGGTGCAATTTCAGCTCATGGCAACCTCC